TAGTCGCAAACGGCTTCATTTTTTACCTTTTGTTTCCGTTTTTAGTCAACAGCTTCTTTTACAGGATTTCATTTTGGCTACGGTACCGCGGTGCATTACCGTATAGCGGTGCAAGCACACACTATATTTGACACTTGGAATCAATGCACTCGATTTACTTCACAAAGTACTATGGAACCGATCGATTTTCTCTCTTATAATTCAATTAATTCGTTCAGGTGCTCCATGTTTACCACCACTATAAGTGCAAGGGCTTCTTCAAAAATCAAATCATCTTAATTGCTCTGTTAATGTCTATGTAGCCTCACTATTAGGATTGTTATACAACTGCATTTATAATTTGATGCATTCTATTTCCATGGGGCGATGTAAGAAAAAGCTCAAAGGGGTTCTTTCGTCTGGGTACGCATGGATTAGCCGATTTGACTCGAATGTCTTTTTTTTCCTTTTTTGCTTGAGAGGGATAGCTCAGGTTATTCACTGGTTGCATTTCATCTCTTCTCGTCTATACATACATCTTTATCTTTATCTTTATCTGATACGCTCGAGGCGTGCTGACAAAACAACAGAACAAAAAACCATGAAGACATGTGTCAGGCTACTCAAGAACGAAAAGAGGTAGAGAAAAAAGAAAGAAAAGAAAAGAAAAAATAAGAAACGCAGTAAAACAATGACATGACTGTACGGCAGCCTAGGTCCAGTTATTTATCAATAAAGCAACGCAACGAACCACTAAAAACGAGCCTGAATGGCATGTTAACTCTCAAAACCTGGATGTTGGCTAATTCTAAAACCAGCAATATCAAACTATCCTTTCAAGACATCTATGCAACTATTAAGCGCAGGCTAAATTTTCTTCTTGCAGTATAGGTTGATTTCTCGAGGAACTAACACTTCTATCTCACCATTTGTTTTATATCAAGACAAATTTGTTGAGTTGACACGTTCGATGTGCATCATTTATGCGTAGGTAGCAGTGCACGCCACGCACCTTCATCGGAAAAATTTTTTTGTCGCCCTCCCCCCACCCCGAGCCGAAATCCTGGGTACGCCACTGATAGGTAGATAAATAAATCTATGCCTATGATACAGTGAACTTCCAAAATCCAGTAGTTCTGAAAGAATGCTTGAACTATTTCAGTTTCAAAAACATTGTGCTCACTTATAGCTCACATTGTAGTGTAAATGATACCGAAATTTGGACGCGCCTTATTTGGGTAGGTGAAGTTACGAAGGAAGTTTAAAACTTAGTTATAGCCTAATATATCGTACAAAACAGCATATACTCGCAAGAAATCAACTTCATTGACATTTATTTCAGCTTTAAACGGATTAGTTAGCCTAATTCTTTCAAGATAACTTTCGATGCATTGGCGACATTTATGCTGGACCTTCAAGAAATACTAATGACACTATTTAGGAGAAGGGAGATTACTCTTATACAAATAAAAACCAACGCCAAGAAACTCGAGCAAGAGGAACGATAGCTGATGGGTGTCAATAACTCGCGCATCTTTTTCCGTCATTTTTGTCCATCAGCCGCAAGAATCTAGAGCATTTCTTCCTATTACACTTTCATTTGAACAGGAGAATGAGATAGATTCTGTTTGCTTGTAAGTGAAGTGTGAAAATAAATTATAAATGTAAAAAAGGGTTTCAAAGGTTAAACTTCAAGTATTTCAAGCTTATTCCTGCAAGAACATAACCGATTGCTCATACCACTGGGCTCTGAGCAGAACTCATAGAGTGAAGCATTTATTCCAACTTCATATTCATAAGACTGAAATCAGCGCAGTTTGAGGCAAATGTTACATTGGCAGAAGCTGCTGGCAATTAATATTGTTCCTCTTGCACTACACATAACTATTTCGTCAATCATTTATGATAAATTAGAACAAAAATCGTTTTTACCCTTGATCGGAGTAATGAAATTATCAGTCCTCTCGGATTTCCTCAGCAAAGAAGGAGGGCTAACCAATAAATGAAAAGCTGAAATATTACTACCTGAATCTCCTTGTGTCCTTGCTCCAGCGGTGCAGCTCACGAGTGAAGTGGATGGGCAGAAAGGGTGTCAGCAATTACAATACACATTACTCTACATTACACTTTAGCTAGCAAAATACTAATTCAGAGGCGGTGGATCGACAAAATGGACCCTTCTCGGATTTTGGTGGGTTTAGGTAGTAGACTTCGAAGTACATTGTAGCCCAAATCCCACCCTCCAATTCATGCGCTAATCCCTGAAAAACACGCTCCAAAACTCCACCAATGACGCTCCTCATGGATGTGGGCGGGGCTGATGGAGATTTGAAGCTCCTTTACAGGACTTACCGCCTGAATTGGGGGTGGGGTGGGAACACCCTACAGTGTACTTGGAGGGTCAACTAATCTTTGATTCAATTAGCTTGGCTCCTGAAATCCGGGGCTTGTGACCTGATTAAGGCCACTTGCTCTCGCGACGTAGTCTGCTCTCCTTCCGCGTGCTCTCTGATCATTATCTGGTCTTAATTAGGTCACGAGGCCCCACCTTCCAGGGACCAAGCCACTGGATACAAAGGGTACCTAAATGCACCAAGATTCGGGAAGGGTCCATTCTGCCGATTTCCTGCCTGTAAGCCTATGAATATTGTATGCTATACGCAACCAAAATTTTCTGTGGAGAGTAAAGTAAGCATATTATTATCGTGTGTATATGTGTGTATGTTTTGATGTGCATGTATGTGTGTATGTGTGTATGTGTATATGTGTGTATGTGTGTATGGTGTGTGTGTATGTATGTACGTGTTGTGTGTGTGTTCTCTCTTTATGTAGTAGAACCAGGCATCAGTAAAATTGCACTCATAAAGTGTTACAATTTCATATGCAACAACTCCTAAATAGGTCTATAACTTGAAAAATCCAGACAAAGCGTACTTTATATAAACCTCATACTTTACGAAATTGAATCTCATCATGACAAAACTACGCCTTGCAATGCCTAGTTCGGCTTTACATATTGATTACATCGTATCAAATGTCAAAGTGTTTTCTTGAAAAAATGCTAGTCTTCCACAGAAATCCGTGGCTATTAGCAACATATTCGTAATATCAGATTATTAGATTGTAGAGAAAGTTCTGCCAAAGAGGTTGAGCCAAATTGTTTCATTTATGTCTTTATCATGCGTGGCTACCAATTAGCGATGTTCTGGTCATGCGTACTGAAGACCTTAGCCTAGTGATTAAATATGTCATTGATGCTCTTTCTTAAAAAGAGTGCTGGCTGAGTTTCGAAACAGATGAAGAGTTCGATTGACACCTATATTCAATGAGTTATTTCTTGCTTGAAAGAAGGCCCAGGTACCGGGGCAAGTAATAGTCGGATACTTTATCCAGCCAATATACAGGGTACGAAACAGATTTTCAAATCAAGCTGGAAGTTCTGCGTGTCCATAATCTGCAAAATGTGTCTTTTCGCAAAACTGAGCGCAACGGACTATGTTCGTTTTTTGGGCATTTCTTCCTACTTGATCGTCATTTTTTCTAGCTGAATAGCGTATTGGGTAGCTGGAGCCATCGCACACTAAGAACTCATCTCAAACCATCACCTTGCACATTCACTTTTGATAACTATGAGAAGAAATGGCAGAAATTTCTTTGCAATCTAATATTGCACTTCTACATAATTCAGCTGAAGATTGTTAGTGCTATTATTATTTTACTTCGGCTGCAGATTTAGGCTTGAAACTACCGACATCGAGTAAAGTCAAAGGAGGTAATGTTGGCTGATTTAGATATGCACTCAGTTTGACGAAAGAGACAATCGTAAAATAAACAAATAAAGTTGAACAGCAAAACCTTGTTGTGATAATCAGAAAATACAAGAAGTGAAGGTGCTATTCTAAACAGGTTCATTATTGACTTACAGTTGAGAAATTGAACTGACTTCGTGGCTGCTTTTGAAATTGTTTTTACCTCTACTAGAAGCTCAGAGCAATGTTTCTAATAAAATAACATTAAGTTTCCGATACTGGGGCCCGCACGTCACGTGAGGACGGGCCATCTAAGTATCTAAGTAAGTAAGTAATTTTCCGATATTTTGAACACTTCGCCGCTATCACTTCAATCAACATGACAGTATAAGTTATCATAGCAATGAAACAAAATAGCTGCATAAAAGATGCAGTACGCCGCTGAAATAGATTACAAATCGCATAATAGCTCAGTATCAACCTGTAATAAGATATTAGATTGGTAAGTTCATTTTGTGATAGTGAATCCAAACACTTATTCTGAGAAGTAAAAAAGTCGCGCTTCACGGCACTGATCTGATCGTAGCTTTTCCTTGACTAGTTCTGGCGGTACGCTTTCAAGATTTTCACTCTTATCTGTTTTTGGACTCAAAGTTATCGTGAAATTACCTTAAAATCTCGGTAAAAATGTGAAGTAAAAGTAGTGCAAGGTCACCTATTATGGCCATACTTTCCTTCGTAGGTAATCTTGCACAAAACTGCGAAACAAAATATTGAACAGCTTGAAAATCTACCACGCTTCCTATTATTGCATTTTTTTTTTTGCAAAATAGTTCGCAGGGATCATCTGACAATGCAGAAACTTCGTTTAATTCTTACTAAAAACGAACTCTTTTGGTATAAAAAGATTCTTCACCAAAGAAATGCAATAATAAGGGGATTTTTCCGTAGAACTATATGTCTTCCACAAACTTTGTTTTGACGTTATTTTGAATGAAAATTCGCCACAGTTACAAGCTTGTTCTCTAAAGTTAGCCAAGTGAAAGTTGCTGTTGAACTCTATCGTGAAACTCCGATCTTTTTTCACGACCATTCGTTGTAATTTGTGTTCAGCATATCGAAGATTGATGTCTTTACTCGAATTACATAAAAGCTAGTCTAATAATATACAGAAGCAAGATTTATACTTTAACTTTGGGTAGTCGCGGTCTTTCAGCAACATCAGCCAGTGAAAAAAATTGAACAGAGCACAACAGCGTTTATCCCACAAGCTTACTCTTCCTTACTTCCTATCGTTCTGTTTCCTTGCGCAGGTTTATCGTACGGATTTTCTAGCCCATGTTTTTTAAGACATTTTCCAATGCATTTGCGACATTTAGGCAGGGGTTCTCCGAAATAACCATAATGTCTTCGACAGGAGCCCCTTCTTATACATAGTGACACGCACTGCAAAAGCAGCTGGAATACTCAGCATACCCATATCACACTCGTACTCACCGCGGCTGCCGTTCTCTTTGCTTCTCTTACATTTTTACAACTTCCATCATCATCATTCCCTTTCCAACAGCAAAGCCAGTCCAGACATCCTGCAGCGCACAAATGCACCAGGATCAAGATAAGGAATGGTTGGCTAAACATTGGCTCTGAAACATAATTCGAAAGAATCTGGAAGCAAAATCTACGGAGCTTGCTCATATTCAGTTAGTGCTTATTGTACCGCAAATGTTGGAGATATCATGAGTACTTTTGTAATCTTTCAAAAATGGTTGGTAATTCCCATGATATTTCGCTTAAATATGAAGACTATCATAATGCTTTCCGGTCACCAAATTCACTACTTTTCTAGTTAACGCCGTTTCGTCTCCAGAAAATAAGGGCTCGATGACCAAGCTTTTACATGTGGGATTCTATATGAATAAAAATGGATTAATTAGACGTATGTGTCAATTTCTTCATTAGGTTGTCCGAAAATCGATGCTTACTTACGCGATCCCGGCAGCGTAGATATAAAAATTTGAGAAACATGCCGTTTGATAGAGCAAGGTAAGCTCTACAAAACCGCGCTTGTATAATTTCAAAAAGTTTGATCCAAGAGAAGTTTAAAACAAAATCAAAAAAAAATTCAAACACCCACGAATCAGATTTCTGTCCAGAATGATCCTGTGGTCTTCCAACTTGGTCACTCATGTTATTCCCTATATCAAACAATCATATGCACACTCACTGCATTTCAACATTGCTAAAAATTGGAAATTAAAAATGGCTCAAAATGCCGAATGTATCGTCTTTTCAGATTTTTATGCTAAATTTTATTTTTTTGGGACTAGCCCTTGTAGGGAGCTGTAAATCCATGGTTGCGCTTTTAAAGATCTGTAGTTTATAATTACCCATGCCAAAGTAGCTTCTCCCCCACAATGGTCGGCCGCCTCATCGTGGCGTGGGGGTGACACTGGGTGTCGAACTGCGATGCACAGCCGAGTGTATACTCTGGCAGGGCCTCCCAAGCTGTGAAGGAGTTCGACGTTTCCGGTTTCGGCCGGATGCCTAGCTAAGAGCCGGCCAGGCCAGATCCGCCGCCGTCTGGTTTTCAGGTCGCTAGGCGGTTCTCCCCGCTCCAAGCCCGGGGTCAGCGATCACCCCGTGGAAATCAAGAGTTGGCCTAGTAAGTCTGCTCTTGTAGGGGAAAAATTTCATTACTCTACCAGTTAGAAGAATAGAAAGAAACCCTGTACATCGGATCCCGCCTACGGCGCCGGGTGGTAGCAAGACTGATGTCAGGGTCTTCAGGGCGCCTTTTGGATTGGACAAAAACGACACGTCTGCCCGGACGACACGCCACGGAGACTGCCTCATGCTCTGCACCTACAACGCCAGGACAGTCTCCACAAACGCCGACCTCCACGCTCTTCTCGACGCTGCAGAGCACATCAAGTACCACATCATCGCTCTGCAGGAAACGAAGTCCAGGAAGAAGGACGTGCGACAGATGAATGATGGAACACTCATCATTCGTGGTGAGAAGGTTCCATCACGAAACGTGGGAGGTGTTGGCTTTGTCGTCCACCCATCTATCGTCCATCTTGTCGATTCGCACGAGATCCTATCACCCCGACTAGCCATCCTACGACTACGCCCTCCACGTCAGAAGACCATCAGCATCATCAACTGCTACTCTCCAACATCAGCAGCTGACGACTCAGAACTAGATGCTTTCTACGAAGACGTGGAGGAGGTCGTCCGCAACGAAAAGTCCTTCTACAAGTATGTTGTGGGCGACTTCAATGCGAAAATCGGGATGCCACTAGAAAAGGAATATAGGATCGGGAAGTTTGGATATGGGCTCCGGAACGAAAACGGCAACCGTCTTGTTGGGCTTCTCTCCGCCGCACGACTTTTCCATGGAAATTCCATCTTCATGAAGAAAGAACATCGCCGGTGGACATGGGAATCACCCAACGGAACGACTCACGCGGAGATCGACCACATTCTCGCCAACCGAAGGTGGAGCTTGCTCGATGTCTCAGTAGTTCCATCCTTCTGCAGTGGCTCCGATCACCGCCTCCTTCGAGCGAAGATACGACTCAGCCGAAGGCTGGAAAAGAAAGTCTGTCACAGTGCCGCGAGAAGGAAGGAAGTCGTTTACGACGGTAACAGGCTGGAGGAGCTCATATCAAGATGTGACTGGCCCATCGAGGAGGACCCAACGTATGACTACGACCGGCTTCTGAAAGGATTGCGAGCCTGCGGAGAATGTGCCTCAGTGACTTCTGAGAAGAACTTGGAACGTATATCGAAGACCACCAAGGAATTGCTCGAAAGAAGAAGATTTCTGAGGCAGGATCCGAATGCAACCCATCTCGAGCGACTGATAGCCAACGCCAGTTGCAGAACAGCTTTGCAGGAGGATCTCAGGAAGTACAGGCAAGCCAAGATACTGGAAGCAGCCGAAGAAAGACGAAGTCTTAAGAAATGCCGAAGGGACCTCTGTGAATATCACGTACCGCTGGCTGCACTATTGAACGAAGACGGGACTCCGACTTCTTCCCGATACAAGATGGAATCTATCGCGAAGAACTTCTATACCAACCTCTTCCGCTCATCAACACTCGTGCCGATGCCCGTTGTTCCCACTGGAGAAGTACCACCACGAATTCTACCTGCTGAAGTGCGCACGGCGATCCAGACCATGAAGACATCCACGGCTCCAGGACCAGACCATCTTTCCGTCGAATTTCTGCGAGCCGGAGGACAACGTCTACACGAGATTCTCGCGTCGCACCTGACATCTTACCTTCAGAAGGAGAGGATTCCCGACCAGTGGAGAACGTCAAGAACCGTCCTTCTTTTTAAGAAGGGTGAACGGGAAGATCTTCGAAATTACCGTCCAATATGCCTGCTGAGTGTGCTGTACAAGCTCTTCACGAAGATTATCCTCGCACGCATATCTAGGACACTGGATGAAGCCCAACCCCAAGAACAAGCTGGATTTCGCAAAGGATTCAGCTGCATGGACCACATCCAGACGGTTTCGAGGGTCATAGAAGTCTGCCGGGAGTACCGACTGCCTCTCGTCCTAACCTTCGTCGACTACGAGAAAGCCTTTGACAGCGTCGAAACCAACGCCATCCTGTCTGCGCTAGTCGACCAAGGAGTGGAACCAGCTTACGTGAGGACACTAGCCGACTGCTACAAGGACTGTACAACAACGATGCAGCTATTCCATCGCCCCCTAACCATTCCAATTGGGAAGGGGGTTCGGCAAGGCGACACTATTTCGCCGAAGCTGTTCACCGCGGCCTTGCAGTGGGTGATGAAGTCACTGGACTGGGAAGAGAGAGGCATACGAGTTGATGGGAGATTCCTATCCAACCTTCGTTTTGCGGATGACATCGTCCTTTTCTCGAGCAGTATCACTGAAGCAGAGGCGATGCTGAAGGAACTAAACGAAGTAGGGAAGAAGATCGGACTGCGAATAAATCGGAAGAAGACTCAGTTCATGAAGAACGCCCTTTGCGAAGATGCAGAAATGGAATTGGAAGGCACCCCTATCATGGAGACGTCTTCTTACGTGTATCTCGGACGTTCGATGAACATGGAGAACGACTTGAGGGAAGAACTTAACAGGAGAAGAAGAGCAGCCTGGGCCGCCTTCGGGCCTCTGAAGGAAGCCACCGACCAACTGACGGACCCGGAGCTTCGTGCCCACCTGTTCGACTCAACCGTTCTCTCCCAGCGCTCTGCTACGCAGCTGAGACTTGGGCCGACACCGTAGCCACGTCGAAAGCTTTAAGGACCACCCACAGAGCGCTCGAGCGCAGTCTTCTGAAGATGACCCGACACAAGCAACATCTAGTCGGACTTCGCAGCACGGATATGAGAAGAATGTCCCGTCTTCGTGACCCAGCGGAATACGTTGCGAAAGCGAAACACCGATGGGCCGGTCACATAATGAGAAGAACGGACGATAGATGGACACTAAGAACATCTGAGTGGATTCCTCGCGAAGCCAAACGTCCTCGAGGAAGACCACCAACGAGATGGGCAGACGTGTTCGTGGAACGGATGGACCAGCTGAGAAATCAGCTGGATACGATTCTTGCCCCTGGAACTCGTGGACGCAGCCACCGACGACGACCAAGAAGATCGTGGATGTCCGAAGCGAGGGACAGGGATCAATGGCGACTTCTGTACTGGGGCCCGCACGTCACGTGAGGACGGGCCATCTAAGTAAGTAAGTAAGTAAGTAGCTTCTTGCATTTGCTAAGGCATACCAACTTTCATTTTCTCAACTTCTAACTGACAAAATACCGCAGCTGACATACGAATGTTTGATGTGCACGAATATATCCTGACCAAGTTGGAAGTCCGCAGCATCATCCGAATAAAAATGTGTTGAGTGTTTGAATTTTTTTCTGCATTTTGCTTTCAAACCTCCCGTGGATCAAGCTTTTTGCTATCATTTCAAATGCAGCTTATAGAGCTCGCTATGCTTTATCGAGTGAATTGTTTTCCACATTTTTATATCTACAGTGCCATAAGGAACCTACATGGATTTCCGAACAAACTTATATTTCAAGAAAAAGTAGTACCGCGCTTGTAAGAAGCATAGAGTATATCATCGTATATAGATAAAATGAATCTTAGATTCTCGAGTTTTGAAGGAGGTAAGAATAAGCTAAAAAGAACAGGGTTACTATTTTTAGCGTAGATAGGTCATATACAGGTTACTATATACTTGTTGTGTCCTCCGCGTCGGACACGTCGACTCTTCGTCCTGAGGTAGCACGCGAGGAACAAAGAATATTTATTAGGAAATAATAGAACAGTTAAAGATAAGAGAGGCAGATGAGTGAACAGACGAACTCTAGAACTGTAGAACTGACTAAGGCTATGAGTGAGCGCCTTTTATAGCGCTCATTTCCCGCGCACCCTGAGGTTGCGATCGACTGCGCGAGGCAGATCACTATGAGGAACAACTGATCAGTACTAACACAACACCTCCCCCAGTAGGGTAGTTACAACAAAACTAGCCTACGACAAAAGCATGAATTACAAATATGAACAGCTAAGAAATCGATTATACATAGATATCACTATCATTTAACAACTACAAAACTAATGAAACAAACATACGATAA